CTTGGAGGGGAGAAGGGAGTTTCTCTCTCTCTCTCTCTCGGCAGTCTGGAACTAACCAAAAGCTCGCAAACCTCTCGGACCCCTTGGCAACCCATCAACAGCCCTAGAACTGCAAGATCATTCATGAAACCTTCAAGCAATTACAAACACTGGAGGCAATTACATGATCGATCGGTTCCAGCTACAAAGCTTCGTTGGCAACTTTGATTTCTAGTAGACCTTCCCTCTCAGGCCTTCGACATCCCAATTGAACCACTACATCTCCGTGAACTTGCACAGAGCTCCACTGCCACGGAACATAGCACATTCGAGCATTTCCTGCTCCCTATTTCAACAAACGGATAGACAGAGCTCCACTGCTTGCTCTACCGCCATGAAACATAGCACGTCCGAGCATTTCCTGCTGCCTGTTTCAATAAACAAAGAGATAGAGCTCCACCGCCACGGAACAAAGCACGTCCAAGCACACGAATGAGTTTGAGATCAGAAAGGGGTGGTCACGATGATGTGTAGTTCTGGCTAATCAAAAATAAGAAAGGAGGTTCTGGGTTGCGATGTGTAGATTGGAAAGGGGGTTTGGATTGAAAGATCTGGATCTCGATCACCAAATTCTGACACGGTTCAAACGATGCCAAACGAGTGGCATGAGTATGAGATTTGGACTCTCGTATCTTAGTTTGAGAGAGAGAGAGAGATTTGAAAGTGTATTTTCGAAATTTTTAAAAATATCAGTCATATGATAATTTAAGAAATTTGTCAGTCCCTGATTATAAGTTTATGAAGCTTCATCTAATGCTCTATGCATAGAAAGTTTATCCATGCACTAAAAGTTTGGACTCGTTCTTCATACGAAACTACGTACGATCCTAGACTGAATACTTGATAAAAAAACCAAAGTCCGTTCTTGTTGGGTGGCAGGCAACCACCTAGTTAAAGCTGGGTAAATCTTAATACAGACAGTTTGGTTGTTGGAGCTACCTCTTAAATGGGAGAATGGGATATTTTGGGACCATGAAGGACGACTTATTTCAGCCTTTTATAAGCAGACAGGGACTGGAGCTAATGCTAAGACCAAATTACAGAGGTGTTGATTTTGGTCAATCTAGTAGTGGATGATCTATCTGATCAACGGTCTTCTTCCCACTCTTTTTCTTTCTCAATTTTCATTCATGCACGATGCAGCCTGTTCAATACAAACCTTTTATTTTTATGGCTAAAAGTAATTAGAAGTTTGAAGAACTACAATCAATTTGGAAATTTCCAATCCGAGGTTTGTTTATAGGACTAATGTGGACTGTGGGATTGAGTACAAGAGCAATTATATCTAATTTAAGATTGCTAAATGATTCTTCCATCATATGGAAGAAATAAGAGGGATCATTTAGGAATCCTCTTGAATTGACCTGGTTAATATTGTTTTGTCAGAAATCAAGAAAATATGAAAGAAGGGTTAAAGCAATAACAGAGAACTTACAAGATTTAGCGTGGTTAATACAGCAATTTGTACCTACGTCCATGAATGAACCCTAACCAAACTTCATTACTGTTTGTAATAAAAAGGTCACAGCCCTAGCAACTGAACTGGTTTTCTTTTATCACCGAATTAGTTTTCTCTATGGTTTACACACACATGCATGCATACTTACATTCCAAGGGACCTGTTACGAGCAAAACAAGGTTCAATGGAGGGCTGTCCTGTGAATACATTTTCCACAAGCACAGGCGCACACTTTGATCCATTGGGTCATGGGTTCAATAATTTGAATCCAATTTGCACATCATAATTAGGATATTTGAAAGAACACAAAGAGTTGCATAAAAGTATTATTTAGTAGCAATTCCTCATATTCTACCATTCTTTCAATGGAAAGTTTCACAGAAAGTAACTCTGCATACATACACAAAAGGAGGACTACCATTGCCAATGCATCTGCAGAATGAACAATGGTGGTCAACTGGTCATCAGTCCTTCTTACACCAAGTGACGATGTTAGCATTTTTACTAAATGTGTTATTTTATTATGGCATTGTTGGAAGGTCAGGTGTAAGGTGGTTATGGATTCTAAAACACTGAATCCATCATCAGTTTTAACAGTGGTCCACTCCCAAATTACTTAGGTGATTTTTATATCTTGGACACCGCCCCAAGAACCTTTCATTAGAATCAATGTCTATGTGGCAGTGGGCCTTCTATGTTCTGGAATTGGTATTGCTTTTCAAGACCATCTGGGTCAGTTGGTTTGTGGAAGATCTACTTGTGCTCCAAAAACTAATTCTGAGGTAGCAGAAGCATTGGCTTTCAGATATGATTTACAATTGGCTCAAGATTTGTCTCTCACACACATCGTTCTTGAAGGGGATGCATAGACGATTACTAACATCCTGTAAGACCCATAGTCAGAGATTCTATAGCGGCTTCATACAATCATAGCCAATTGCAGGAGTCTTCTGCGTGGATTTCAACAAGTTCATATATCTTACATCCCTCCAGATTTCCTTACTTTTTTTAACAAGAAAAAAAAAAAAAAAAAAACATTGCCAATGCTTAACAAGTTCCTTCTTCCCTTAAAGTAATGAATATGTTCTATATATACCAAAAGCAGCCCTAACTTTCTAACTTTTCAATGTTGGTATGACTTACCATCACCCTTCTTAAATGTCCATAAAAGAAGGGTTTGTTTTGTGCTCTCTCCTTAGTATATATTAGTATTATTTATCCCTCATTGGGTATATGCCAATGTGACCATAAAATTTCTTTTCTTTTCTTTTTTCTGTTAAAAAATTGACCATAAAAATATCCATTATAAGGGGGGCCTACTGCCCATATTTACAATGGCCCACTACTAAGATAGGATTTATTATGTCCAACCAAACTGATCTTGAAAATCACCATGGCTGTAAATGAATTGGATGTCAATCTGATCCTTCTAAGCTACCTTGATATTCGATTATCTTAAATGAATCGAGTTGGAAAGTGTGATTCTGTTAATAATTCAACCGGGTCGATTTATCCGTCAGGATCCTACCCAATTCGATTTTATATATGTGCATATATATATATTTAATAGAGAAATCAGGTCAAACTAGCTAATAGTGTAACTGGTGTCTTATATTCAACTTCTATAGATTTATTAACATCCAAAGTGAATTGGATTGAATCTGGATACCCAGATATCTAATTTAATCAGATTCAAATTAAGTTTTTGTAGATCCATTAGATATTGAATCGAATCGGGTACCCGGACCGGAGTTCTAATTGGATACATGCAAATTCCATTTAATATCTGCCTGCAGTCTTACAAATCAATCACCAGTGAATTATCTGTACAAGTTGAACAGGAACACAACACAGTCTTTTTATAAGTCTTGTCGTGCTTCCTCCTTCCCCCGGCCAGTTACTAAGAATCCTCATAGATCAATACAACAGAGAGATCATGAGGTTCATGTTGATGCTAACAACCTTTATTGGCTGCTGGTACCCATTGAAGAGATGGCCTGAAACTCTGGTAGCCATCAGCCTTTGTTTTCTCTCCCTGATATGCTATTTGAACCACAGGAACAAGAAGCAACTCATACTGATCAACTGGCCTTTCTTGGGCACACTTCCTTTGGTTCTCCGAAACATCCACCGTCTCAATGAGTGGTGGACTGAGGTTTTCAACTCGCTTGGCAGCAGCTCCTTCTATATAAGAGTCCCTCCCTTCTCAACCCCGAAATACCTCCTAACTTGCCACCCCTCCAACTTGGATCACATCCTCAGAACTAATTTCTCCAATTACCCAAAAGGCCGAGACTTCACCGAGATATTTGACATACTTGGTGATGGAATATTTAGCACTGACGAGACATGGCATGCCCAGAGGAAGATAGCAAACTTGCGCTTCACGTCCAGAAAGTTTCGGGACATCGTCGCAAAGTTGAGCAGAAAGGTGGTGAGTGATGAACTTCTTCCCCTGTTGGCGCATGTAGCTACACAAGAGTCGGCCATCGATTTGCAAGATGTGTTTCTGAGGTTTACAGTTGATAGTATTGGTCGTATTATATTTGGCAGAGACGTTAGCAGTCTGTCTACAGATCTTCCGATAGACGAACTCGCCACTGCCTTTGAGGACGCACAGAAAGCCATACAATATAGGCAAGTGATGCCCACTTGGGTGTGGAAGTTGCTACGTTGGTTGAGGGTGGGGAGAGAGAGGAAGTTAGCTGAAGCAGCTAAAACCGCAGATACCCTTATAGGAAAATATATTTTGCTGAAGAGGGAAGAGTTGGTTAAAGGGGTGGAAGGAAATGATTTATTGTCCATGTACATGAGCGTTCAGGGAGAAATGAACGATGACTTCTTCAAGAGCGACAAGTTCCTCAGAGATAACATGCTGAACTTCGTCATTGCCGGACGGGACACAACTGCATCGGGCCTCACCTGGTTCTTTTGGTTAATTTCTAAGACCCCGCGTGCTGAGGCAAAGATCTTGGAAGAACTAGAGCTTGTCTTCTCTAAGAAGAAGGAGTCTAGAGAAGGTGAGCTTGATACAGGGGCCAAGCAAATGTGGGTGTTCGATTCAGATGATCTTAGAGGGTTGGTGTACCTGCACGCAGCGTTGTGTGAAACTGAAAGGCTCTATCCTGCAGTTCCAGTCATCCAAAAAGGTATTATCAGAGAAGATGCTCTGCCTGATGGAACCATTGCGAGGCCAGGGATGCTGATCCTACTGTCAGTCTATGCAATGGGAAGGATGGCATGGATCTGGGGAGAGAATTGTTTAGAGTTCAAGCCCGAGAGATGGATCGACGACGAAGGAAAACTGAAGCATGAAGCCACATCTAAGTTGGCAGCGTTCGGCTTTGGGCCGAGGACTTGCCTGGGTAAGGACATGGCTTTCACTCAGATGAAGATGGCTGCCGCTGCCATCCTCTTCAACTTCCACGTTGAAGTGGTAGAGGGTCACCCTGTTTCTATAAAAAGATCTACAGTCCTACAAATGAATGATGGATTGAAGGTCAAGATGAAAAAACGAGCCCATTAGTTAATATTCCATCAAGGTGTTGGAAAATCCTTATGCTGTCTACCTACTTAATCTGTTTATCTAATCCAGAACATTATCATCTTGTAAAACAAAGCTAGATTATTGTTTAGTTTCCTAGAATAATAAGGGTTACTGCTAGTTAATTTCGTTTTCTATGAAGCTTAACACAAGTAAATGGTGTGGTATCTTCCATTAGTACTGAATATATCATATGTTTTCTGTTTGTGTTTCTTATATGAAAGTCCACTAATCCGCCACATTGTTCTCTCAATTTCAAGGAAATTGGTCATTTTAAAGTATAATTATTAATTAATTACTTCTCTAATTAAGCATTTTTATTATTAATAAATTCATATTCAAAGGAAATTGGTCAGCCACCGGTCCGGCCGGCCGGCTTTATAACATTGATCCTCGTTGTGATTTGTGCTTATGTTCAGTTTGGAAGGAGTGCAAATATAAATATGTCCATACAAAATAATACAAAATGCAAGTACATAGAGTGCAAAATCTTGTCTTTTGTATGTATTTATATTGTATATATACTCTTACTTTGACTCAAATGCGTCTAAATTAGAAACTAACCTGAAGGAGCCTAGCCCAAGCATGGTAAATACTTGGCATACCTAAAGTCACTACATTTCGGGCCAAGGTACGCAAAGCTGGAGTTTCTGGCTTTTTTTACCAAGAAAATAAAAAGATTTTTCAGGGTTTTTTAAGCTCCGTTTTTTTTTTTTTTTTTTGTTAAGAGATCACTTATTTGGGTAAGTGAATTTACATATGTAATTGTTTTCTAGGAAACACTTGTCCATATTTTTTTGATTTCTGGGTAAGTTGTATAATGGCTTTTCTATCCATAAAAAAAATAGGGAGAATGACCAATCAGCCCAGATCAGAATTTTATAGCCCCATAGTACAGGGGGAATGCATCCTAACCGTAAATTGATGCTAAATTCACAGGGAGGATGTGGTTTATAGGGGGGAGAGGGCTAGTAGTAGGGGGGCTGAAATTCAGAATTCTGCATCCGGTGTTTCCATATTTCTCCGAAAAAATTAATATTATAATGGACAAATTTGTCTCATTATGTTTTGTAAACTTTTCCCCCAAGTGAAAAAATTACTTATCCACCTTAGAAATGGGAATCCCTTTCCACTTTCCTAGGGCCTTAGAAGTAAAACTCCATGATCGAAAAAAGGGCTAGTGTTAATTGGGGAGGACCAACCTTTGTGTTGCTAATGATTGGGGCCGGATGTGCTACCCTACCCCCTTCCCTTATATAGCCCCCTTTTTCTTTTATAAAAGGGTAAAATACAAAAATCTTATGACAATAATAAAAACCTCCCCTATAGTTTCATTGTAACAAATACCTCCCCTAAACTTTTCAGAAATTCAACAAAAACCTCCCTTCCATTATTGATCCAAACGGAGAATGTATACACTTACGAAATTACCCCTGAAGTATCATTTAAAGACATCATAAAATACCATATTTGCCCTCTTTTTTATTCTACAAGACTCTCTTCCACCAAGCTCCCATTGTTCTTCCTCTGAACCTAGAAGGTATTCGTTTTCGTTACTGCGAAAAGGGCTTCCTACTAACTTGCATTGATGAAACTTTTTATTTTCCCATTTTTTTTCTTTTTTAGCCTCGCCATCAACCATGCGAGCAAGTTCAAAATTTTGGTTTTAGTGATACAGTACAGGAGAAGGCTAATAAATTCTATGCAAGTTGAAACCACTCCAAGACACATAAGAAGCTCGAATGACGTCAATAATTCAATCGAGTAATCAATTACAAAGTTAGCACCAGCGCAAAACTTCTATTTTGGTTTGAATTTACCAAGTTAGCGCCAACATGAAATTTCCATCTTAGTTTGAATCTACCAAGATAGCACCAATACAGAATTTCCATTTTAGTTCGAATTTACCAAGATATCACCAACACGAAATTTCTATCTTAGTTCAAATTTACCAAGCTAGTATCAGTGTAGGACTTCTATTTTAGTTCATAATTACCAAATTAGTATTAGACCATGATTTTTTAATTTTTGTTCAATTACGACTTTCTTTTTGAAGAGTTTTAGTAGGATTCTATTATAGAGTGTTCTCATAGATTAGGAAGCTTTCTTGTAGGAGCCATAAGGGTGTAGGCCTATATAAAGAGTAGCTAGGGGAAGGCTATGATATTTTTTTATATTGAATTTTCTCTTAATTATTCAGTAAAGAATTCTTCTTCCTGGTAGTTCGACTTATGCTCTTTTCTTTGAAGCTTTTCTCAATGTGTTTTGTTTTCGTATTGAGCTCATGTTTTGTTTCAGTTGGTATCAGAGCCCATGTTTGATCCTTCTTCGGATTATGGCTCCTAAGAAGAAACAAGTAGCTCATATCATGGAGCAGGAACCCAACAACAAAACGTAGGGAGAGATAGCGGAGCTGAGAAGACAAGTCGAGGCACTTGCTCAAGAGTTGAAATCACTACGAGGGACAACAACTCCAATGCAAGTATCTACACACGTTCCTTTTCATCATCAAGGCAAGCAACCAGATCGGTTGTAGTTGCGGATGGTGACTAGAGACGGTGGGAAGCAGATCTCAAGGTTGAGATCCCAGAATTCTAGGGAGGCATGACTCCAGAAGAATTCATGGATTGGCTCTTCGTGGTAGAAGAAATCCTTGAATTCAAGGAACTTCCAGAAAATAAGATCATGTCCTTAATAACCACTCAGTTTAGAAGACGAGCAACAACATGGGGGCATTAATTGAAGGTTATGCGACAGAGAAGAGGCAAGAAAAAGATTAAGACATGAGAGAAACTCAAGGCAAAGATGAGGTCAAAATTTCTACCCCATAATTATATTCGTTTACTTTATCAAGAAATGCAAAATCTAAAGCAAGGAACTTATACAGTAGATGAGTATACAAAGAAGTTTCATCTGTTAGTGGCCCAGAATGAGTTAGCTGAAACTAAAGACCAATTGGTGGCTAGGTATATAGGTGGGTTGAGACCAAATATCTGGGATATATTAGACTTATTTGACTTCTATGATGTTTCTATGGCACATCAACATGCTCTAACTATAGAAAAGCAAAACAGTTAGCCTAACCAATTGGGTCAAACCCAAATTGATGTGGCCAGACCACCCCCACATAGTAATCCCAACTCACCTCTAAATTCATCTACTTAGTTGTAGTCCTGTAGGCTGAACCAAAACCAAGGACGTGGGCCTAATCAAAACCAAGTAGGTCCACCTAGATTGAAGTGTTTTAAATGTGGTGAACCAGGCCATAAATCCTTTGAAAGTGCAAGGGGTGATAAAAGAAAATGGACGATGTTTGTAGAAGATGAGAGTGAAACCCAATTGGAAGCATTTGACTATTCAGCCCCACCTGTGTTTGACCCTTATGATGAAGAAACCTTAGAGGGAGAAATGGTGTATGGGGATGTGAGAGAGGCCTTGGTGATGCAGCGATCATTCCTAACTCTTAGGGATTAATCATCGGATTGGCTAAGAAATAATATTTTTCCACACCACGTGTACTATGGGTGGGAAGGTTGCGAGCTTTATAATTGATAGAGAGAGTTGTGAAAATGTTATAGAGAAAGTATCTATCTGTAAGGTAAACCTAAAAACTCAACAACACTATCATCCCTACAACCTTGCATGGCTAAAAAGAAAGAATGAGATTTTAGTCACACAGCGGTGTCTAGTGAGCTTTTCTGTTGGCAATAATTATACTTATCGTGTATGGTGTGATATTGTATGCATGGATGCTTGTCATTTGCTACTTGGGCGCCCATGGCACTTTGACCACTACATAGTCCATGATGGATGAAAGAACACCTACTCTTTTGAGTTTAAAGGAATCACAAGAGACTAACCCAATGAGGGTTCTAGCCTTTTTGCCATGACTGAATTCACAAGTGCCTTAAAGGAGACGGGTGTTGCATATGCTTTAATTGACATGGGGTTTGAGCTGAAACTACCATATGTTGGCAATCAATCAGATGATGATTTGAATCTGATGACAGATTCTCCCCAACCTGAGAAGGATGATGCAGTACAGAAGAAGGCCAATAAGTTCTATGCAAGTTGGGACCACTCCAAGACACATAAGATGATGTCACTAATCCAATTGAGTAATCAATTACAAAGTTAGCGCCAATGCAAAACTTCTACTCGGATTCGAATTTACCAAGTTAGCGCCAGCATGGAATTTTCATCTTAGTTCGAATCTACCAAGATAGCGCTAGCACGAAATTTCTATCTTCGTTCGAATTTAAAAAGCTAGTGTCAGCACAGGACTTCTATTCTAGCTCATAACTACCAAATTAGTATTAGATCATGATTTCCAAACTTTTATTCAATTAGGACTTTCTTTTCGAAGAGTTTTAGTAGGACTCTATTATGGAGTGTTCTCATAGATTAGGAAGCTGTCTTGTAGGAGCCATAAGGGTGTATGTCTATATAAAGAGTAGATAGGGGAAGGTTAAGACATTTTTTTGACATTGAATTTTCTCTTAATTATTCAGTGAAGAATTCTCCTTCCTAATAGTTTGACTTCTGTTTTTTTTCTTTGAAGCCTTTCTCAGCATGTTTTATTTCATTATTGGGCCATTTTACCATTTCAGAAATTAATCTCAAATCGCCAAAGTTTTAAGACTAGACTTTGAAATTATTGTGAAACTTGAGGCATTTTCGTAATTGGTTCAGGAATCAAAATTTTGAAGGTTGCCAAATCTGGAAACTAATTTCTATCTTTGTGGGTCTCTCCATTGTCTCTGAGATGTGTTTGGAAAAACAAAGAATTTGATATTGATAAAATGACATCTGGAATGGCTTGAAACTTGACTATTGTTAGCATGCAGCGCATGGCATCTGTACACCTGGATCTCAAATTTTATTTGCAAATGTAGATGTTTATGGCGGTCCAGTTGCCATTCAAAATTTTCAAAAAAAAAAAAGAAACAATCGAAAAGTAAAATAAAATGACCTAAAGAATGATATGATCCCCGATATGATTTAAAATGATGTCTCACTTCACCACCTGAACCACAAATGGTGTCTCCCTTTACCTGTGTTATCCTTGCTTGAACCACAAAAAATGGTGTCTGACTTCTCAACCGGCGTAAGTTTCAGCGGTGAAATAAGT